CCTCCATTCTCCTCTCGGAATCTTGGGCACGCATGCACACATGCCCAGCATGAGTTTAAGCCGCCGGGTCCGGGACTCGAACCACTGTCGACTATGTGGGAGTCCAGTGACATAGCCATTACGCCAACTGCTGGTCTCAAGTCCTGCACTTGAAAAACACATTGGGTGTACGTGTATGTGCCCATAATCCCTAAAGAAAAAATGGAGGAGAAGGGATTGCAGCGTGACCACCCCTCATGCCGAGAATTTTCTTACCCACCCCTTGTGTCTCTCTCCAATAAACACATTACCCTCTAGCAAATTGAAAAAGCAAAACGAAATAAAACACTCTGAACTGGAATTCCCATCTGGGGTGATTTGCTTTAAACTCTTCTCCCAGAGATGATGTTTATAAAAAAAGAACAAAAACAAAAACATCATTGAAATCCTAAGATCTGTACCCTGCCCCACCTTTCCGTCTTTATTATTTTTCTTTTTAAAGAAAGATTTTTGCTAAAGGGCATGTGTGCTTGCAGGAGAAGCAGAGAGACAGAAAGCAAGATATCTCCCCCCAGGGGGATGGCCACACCGCAACCCCTTCTCCTTCATTCTCCTCTCTGGATCTTGGGCATGCATGCACACACACCTAATGTAAGTTTCAACCCACTGGGTCCAGGGCTTGAACTGTGGTCCACTATGTGGGAGTCCAGCAATGTAACCATTACGCCATCTGCTGGTCTCCTTCACCTCCCCATCTTAATGCCCTACCAAGTCCCTTCCAGAGCCTTCCACACCTCTCCCAGTCTTGGTGTGGCTACAGTTGGTTCAAGGGGATTTTGAGGCGTGTTGGGGTGATTAATCAAGCCTTGGGCTTGGAGCTAGGAACTCTAAGGAGGTCCAAGGGTGGTCTCTGTTTCCCAGAGTCACTCGCTCACTCCCCCTTTTCATTGGTCTTCCACCCTGCCTGCCCTGATTCTGAGATTTACTGGACTATAGTCGAGCAGTTCCTCTCTGCCTTTTGGGGCTATGAGGGATCCCTGGGACGGGGAGTTGCAGCCAACTCAGTGGGTCCATAGAGGGACCTGAGGTTCCTAACTAGGCAGAGTCTGGTTTATTTATCCAGGAAAACCTTCCTGCCAGGGAAATCTTCTTCCAGAACCGCTTTCAGGGCTCCAGGGAGATACATTGCTCTCTCACCAGTTTATATTTTCAGAAATAGGCCATGAACTCCCAACCACTCAGCTCTGCTAGCACCTAGCCTCCATTTAATAATTCAAATGTCAACTGCAGTGCCAAGCTACTTGAAAGGAGGGCTCATAAAATAGAAGATTAATTCTCGCTTGGGTGGGTTCAGTATGCAGAAGAAATCCAGGCAGAAGAGAAGAACGTTTTCCCAAGAAAGCACCATGCCTCCAAAGTCTGAGGGGAGACTCGCTTCCATGTTGAAGCTCGCTGTGGCTGGGGGAGGAAGAAGCTGGGGAAGTCCTTATGTTCAAAGAGTCGGAGACCATGAAGGCAAAAGCTGAGGGTTTGCCAGGGTTTCTGACGCAGGGAAATGATTTCTGTCTGAAGAGGATTCACACGCTGCTCTCAGAGAACAAGTTTAGTTCCTAATAATGATGCATAGGAGGGCAAAAGGAAAAAGTCTCCACCGTTCTCAGGAGGAATGGGGCATGGGTTGAGGCTGGCCTCCTCAGCCTCTTCTCCTGACCTCTTTCAGCCCATGCAATACCCTCCACCCTAGGCTGGGGTGGTTCTTCTGAGCACGGAAATCTGATGAGAAATCTGATTAGGAGCTTATTTGCTACCACTGAGCTCCCCCCAGCTGTCCCACCTCATCTCTCATCACTCCGGCCCTGAAGGAATGTCCAGGCCACAGACCACCAAGTTTCTGGAATGAGCCACGTGTCTTCAGGACTCTGGGCCATGATAGGGCTGTACGCTTGCTCTCTCACCCACTTGGTGAACTCCTCCAGAAGTCTCTGGGCCCAACTCTGGCACTTGGTGGTCAGGAGTAATCCAGGTCAGGTACTTGGTATTTTAGTAGCTCAGCATTCTTTTTTTGGGGGGGAGGGGGTAGAGATTTTCGCTATAGGGCACGTGCGCTTGCCAGACAGACAGAGAGAGAGAGAGACAGAGAGACAGAAAGCGAGAAATCACCCCCCAGGGGGGATGGTCACGCTGCAATCCCTTCTCCTCCATTCTCCTCTCGGGATCTTGGGCACGCACGCACACGCACCCGGCGTGAGTTTTAAGCCACCGGGTCCAGGACGCGAACCACGGTCGACTACGTGGGAGTCCAGCAACATAGCCATTACACTAACTGCTGGTTCCCAGTAGCTCAGCATTCAAGATGGGAATGGCCTGAAAGGGATGTGGAGAGTCAAGTAAGACAGTGGCAGGCAAAGCAAACGAACTACAGAAGGAAAAGGCTCAGAAAAAGTAATAAACTCAGGATCAGAACCTGCATTGGGCCAAGTGGCATCCAGCATTGCAGTTTGGTAGGCAACCATCTGGTCTACCCGGCAGGGCCAAGTAGGAGTGTTAACGACCACCCTGTCATACCAGGGGCTCTGCTATCCCTCCCATACTGATGCTCTTTGCTCTCAGCAAACAGAACCATGTGGCCAGGGTATTTTCAGGAAAGACCCAGAAAGACAGGCTTAGCAGTCCTGAGATCCCAGTGTCCAAAGGCACAGAAGGGGACACCAGTGCTCAAGAGGTCAGTGACCATGCATGGATTATAAGCCAAAGGCCCTGGCTCCCAGCTCCCTGACCTCTCTGCAGCTGCAGCAGCTGTGCCTTCTCCCCAGGGGGACTGACAGGCTCCTGTCCTTCGTGCCACACAAACACAGCCTCAGTCCACCAACATCTGGACACGGGATGTCAGTGTGGCCACCAGGGCTCAGAAGCACTGCCCTGTGGAATGGTGCCACGGCAGGGATGCTTCACGGCCCTCCCGGCAGATCCCAGGAGCTCCTCTGACTGTGACTAAATAACGCATCTCCATCCCAGCCCACTGCACAGGGCTGCGCCCACGTGGCTGCCCCCATCGCCTGAAGCCTGTTCTGGGAATCGTCTGTTCCCCTCTCTGCCACGTCTGCAGGACGAGATCATTTAAGAGCATCTCGGTTATTTTAGGAAGACCTGGGGAACAGAATAAAGCATTGTCGATTTCCCCTGACTCCCAATCTGGGGGGAAGGAGACAAAAATGTCGTCACGTCCGCATCACCCCCAGGGTTCTCCACCACCGTCTGCACGTGCTCTCGACCTACTTTCCCTGTTGTCAGTTCTGCCTCGTTTAGCCCGCAGCTACCGGGCCATGCGGGTGGCTGCTCAGATGCAGCGGAGGGTGCAGAAGCTGCCTCCTCCTCCTCCTTCCCTCACCAGCCCTCTGGCTCTCACTGCTGACTCACCCTCTCCTCCGGTTTTGAGAGAGCTGCTAGTGGCTCCCACGACCCAACCCGATCATGAAGACCGGAGCTGGGTTGGGGAAGAAGGGGAAGGAGGAACTTGGGCACGTTTGTACAGTAAACGAGAGCTCGGCCAGTCACCCAGATGCTCACGAGGCAGAAATGCCTTACATCTGGGCGAACAGGGTTTCTCACCATGCAAATGCTGGCTCCTTATACAGAGGCAGCCTCTGCTTTTAAACCAAGCAGGGCTTATAGCATGATGAGACGAGGCAGCTTCGCTGAGACAGTGAGGGGAGAGCTTTCCTTACCCAAACAAGCAATACTACTACTATTACTAACAGTATCAGCGTCATTGGCGGTGGAGTGTTTGCAAAAAAGGCCACAATTTTCCTACTCTCTGAATCTGTGTCCTTTGCAACATCTCCCCTCAAGAGAAGGAGTCTAGGGACCAGCAGTTAGTGTAATGGCTATGTCGCTGGACTCCCATGTAGTCGACCATGGTTCGAGTCCCGGACCCGGCAGCTTAAACTCACACCGGGCACGTGTGCATGCGTGCCCAGGATCCCAAGAGGAGAATGGAGGAGAAGGGATGGCAGCGTGGCCATCCCCCCTGGGGGGTGATTTCTCGCTTTCTGTCTCTCTGTCTCTCTCTGTCTTTCTGGCGAGCGCACGTGCCCTATAGCAAAAACCTCTCCAAAAAAAAAAAAAGAGAGAGAGGGAGTCTATTATCCTACTCCATGAATCTGGGCTACCCTCCTAACTGGGTTTGGCCAGTAGAATTTGGCAGAGCAACAGCATGCCAGTTCAGAACCCCAGCTTTAAGAGACCTCGTGCACTTCTGCCTTCCCTCAGAACCCTGTCGTCAGCACACGAATAAGCCCAGACCAGCCTGCAACAGGTGGGGAGACCACGCGCAGCAGAGATGAGCCGGTGCTGCCGAGCTCACACGAAATCAGCCTACAGTCCTGCCATGATCAGTAGAGCTGGCTCCTTGAACCACTGCGGATGCATGAGACCAGAAGGACCGCCTGCTGAGCCCAGACCTGCTGACCCACAGGATTGTGAGCTAAGTACATACTTCTGTTTTGAGCCACTAAGTTGTAGAATAGTTTATTATGTTGTAAAAGTTAATAAAAAGGTGTTTTTTTTTTGGGGGGGGGTCAATAGGATTTTTTTTTAAAAAGGAATGATTTTATTTAACTTTATGTATCCATTTATTTGTTTATTTATTTTAATCTGACCAGAGAGGGACAGAATGAAAGAGAGAACAAGTAAGAAAGCAAGTCACCGAGTCCAGGACTCAAACCATGGTCAGCCATGTGGGAATCCAGCGCCCTTAACCACCACGCCACCTGCTGGCCCCAATAGCGGGATTTAAAAAAATGAACAACACCTCCCCCCTTTTTTTGTTTTAAATCTCACAAACATTATAGCAAAACGAATAGGAGACTAGGTCAAGGAGCAAGTGGCTGGCTATCTGACTATACCAAAACGTATCGGCAGGACTCGAACACGCGAATCGCAGGCTCGTGCTGCCTGGTACGTCTGCGTCGTCTTCCGGATGGAGCCCCCTCTGGTGAAGGATGTGGCTGGCACCCACTTACCAGGATCTTGGTGGTGTAGGCGCTGTTGATGGCGATGGCGTTGACCAGCAGCTCCATGGTCTTGGCGTTGATGGAGCTGGGGTCGGGGATCTCCTTGTAGTGGACGTCGCCGACGTAGGCCTGCACCACCGTCATGCGGTTGGTGGTGAGCGTGCCCGTCTTGTCCGAGCAGATAGCTGTGGCATTGCCCATGGTTTCGCAGGCGTCCAGGTGGCGTACCAGGTTGTTGTCTTTCATCATTTTCTAGAAGAAGAGGCCAGGGAGAAGGCCGCCGTAAACACAGCGGAGCGGACGGTGAGGGGGCCTGGGACACGGCGTTAGCACACATCGAACGAGGCAGAGCCACCCCTGCAGGTCGCTTCGCCTCCTGCAAAGGGTCTGGGTTTGCTGCCACCTCTTACCCCTGGGCTTCTTCTGTGTGGGCAGCCCTTTTATTATTCGGGGCACTTAAAAGGTCTGATTAATGGAATTTATTAATTTATTATTTATTTATTTATTTATTTTATCTATTTCTTTTTTTTTTTGGGGAGGTTTTTTTTCTTT